AGAAGCCGAGGCTGAGGAGGCCAAGCAGGCCAAGAAGTACAGCAATGCATCACAATGCATTTGCTTTGAGCGAGTCTCCAAAGGTGTCATTTCAATTGGACTTCAGAATTGAATGAATGGGCTGTCCAGTCTAGACTCCCGCACCTGCAGGCACAGCTGGAAGGTCGGTTGCCAAAGAAGGCGAAGGCAAAGTTGGGATTCAATTTCTTGACAAAGTACTCTCCAATCATTTTTGTTCATTTTTGATCTATTTGTTATCATTTGTTGCTTTGCAATAAGCTGACAAAACAATATAAAGCACTTTTCCAGCACCAGGCTTATTTTGTCCGGAGAGAACCACTGCTGGCAAGGCCGATCCTGGCACCTTTGTCATCACCATGAGCCATTTTGTGCCGAGACAGGTGGGTGCGTTTTTGCTCCGTGATTGGTGCGGAAGAATGGTCAAGATTGCACTTGCTTCCTGCTTCCCTCTTAGTTCTTTGCTTTTGGGACTTGGGAGAAGTTGTTCATACAAGTATTGACAGTGTCGATCAATATAAAGACATCTCTAAGTAGTGTAGTGCCCACAAGACAGCCGTATGTTCAATTTGGTTAAAAAGTGTCAGCAGGATTTGCTACCAAAGCCCTCCAATTGCTCAACTGCTGGCTGGAGCACCTGAGCTGCTACAAGGAATGCTATCCTGGTCCTCGACGCCTTTGTCCGGTTTCTTAGAAGATGCCTCGAGGGGATCTCTGGCGCCTTTCTTTTCATATGATTGTATGTGAGCAAAGTCATCTGAGGATTCAATGTGATCTGCGATGCCTTGAATTGCTCTCCGTAGTTTTAATCTGGTCTCCTGACAGAACACTTGCCCATCCAGTCCTTCTACATCAATCCCACGGGTGTCCAGAAGGCTTGATCATTCCTTGAACAGCATTCTGCAGACCGTCCTTTCCCAGTGAAAAAGGAGGAGCGTCCATGATACTGAAGGTTCTCGTTTGCAGTTCGCACTCCCAGATGGTCCAGAAAAAGTTTTCTAATCTCCACATTGCTCACTGGCCAAGGTGGTGTGATGGGTTGCCGCGAGATTGAGCAGCAGGCCCCCAAACGACGCAGTTTTCTCTCCAGTCTGGAGGGACTTGCTTTCTACTAAGCAAAAATAAACATGTGTCCATTGTGTCAACAGACATCTATACCATGCTTCTTCCGAGCTGCTGGAAAGCGACTTTTGACTGAAGAAACTAAAGATCCAACAACCACGTACACAAACTTGTATTAACAAGCAAGGTCAGGGTTTGTTGGGGCCTTATGAAAGGGGCACTTTGCTGATGGCTATGCCGATTTTCCAGGCTCGGAGCTGTGGCTCTCGGTGCCATATCTTCGGGCACTCGCACATTTCCTGCGACCGGGAGGCCGGGGTCTGCCAAGAGTTTGCAGCCAACACATGCACAGTGTCTCTCCCAAAGGTCACAGTATCAGCTTTTGCAACTAAATGTATACTTGAAGTCTCAAGTCAAATGTATATCAAGGTTTTTGCAAGTGCATACCAGGCTGGCATTTTGTTTGTTTCATGAAGCTTTGGTGTCCACCAATTTGACGTGTGCTTCCTGCCCTTTAAGCAGGTTAATGGAGTCCGCTATGTGCAGCATCCACTGGGCTGCTTGGGCTTTGATAAAGCGAAAAGCCCGAACCGGCGGACTATCAGTGAATTGGATGGCTTCAGCCAATGGCCATAAGTAGGCCAGGGTCCAAAACCAGCACTTTGCAGCACTGAATTGCATTCTTCTTAAATCTCAAAACTCTTTTGGTAAGCAACTTCATGGGCAATTTCCATCCCCTAGTCTTGACAAGCACTTATTACGAAAGCTTTTCTGCACAACTGCAATGTCATGCACCTGCCTTTTGGACATTCACTTTCTAAATGAGCCTGTAGCTTTTGTGATGCTAAGCATACGAGCAAGAAGCTGTAAACCAATCTGAGTGCTTAGAGTTGACAAGTTGGCCAGAACACAGTTATTGTTCTGCTCAGAGTAATCTTGATCAACCTAGATTACCTAGATTCCCTGAACTACAAACTGGCATTGTATGTTGCAGATACCCCAGCTGTACAAATCCACAGCAACGAGGTTACCCAAATGACTATCACCGTCAGAGTGCTCCCAAGTCTGCCTGGGCCCGAGAGCCATGACGATCAGCAGCTGAGTAAAGAACCTCAGGCTGAGCCCATGTAGCTTTTGCAGGTCACAGGCCTGCGGCGGAGCACGCTGATTTAGCGGGTTGCAAGGACTGTTGGGTCACTTGGATTCGCAGAGCCTTTGCCCGGCTGACTTTCCAAGGTCTGGGGCTCTTCCAAGGCACAGCCGGGCTCTGTGACCGAGGACAGCGGAGGGATGTGGGAGAAGGCCGCAAGAACGGGGAAGGACGAGGGTGCAGCTTCGTCGAAGTCTAGGACTTCAAACCAATTTGTTAATGTGAAGCTCACAGGATTGGACTTGTTCATGGAGCAAAATCTTTTGCTCAACATCCTAGCTCAGAAGCGCTTTGCCTTTGTCATGGCGAGGAGCCAGACTCCACCTTGGCCAAGGGCATCGCGAAGGCATATTCACACCATTGGACAAGCCGGCCTCCCCATCCAACATTGGGTTTTGATGGGAGAGCAACCGTTCTTTTCATACTCTTTCAGATTCAGGGTCCTATTGGCCTATGTGCTTATCTCAGCACATTTAGGGTTCTGAGGCTGAGTTGTAACTTAACCAGGAACTTACGGAACATCTCATCTCAGAATGGCGCAGTGCCCTTTGGTACGTGGTGCTCGAAATGACATATACGCACAGACAAGAAGGCAGGGATGATAGGGAAACAGGACGGATGCCCAGGTGAAGAGAGAAAGAAAGAAAGAAAGAAAGGGATGTAGATAGGTAGATAATTCCTAGATAATATATAGATTGATAGATGAGCTGGCAGACTGTTACTGTGAGATGCAAATATGCACTCCACAAGATCTCATCGTGTCATGGAGGCTATCCTGGATGAGATCCAAGCCTCCACAGAAAAGTGTCTAGAGCGGCCTGATGGGCGCTGGAACAGCCAGGCCTATGACAAAGGGAGGTGTTGCATGACTTGATGTTGGTAGAAGAAGCCAGAGGCTGCAACCTTTGTGAAACAATCTACTGAGTCATGGAGTTTGTTTGCGAACTCTATAGCCATGGCTGGTGAAACTGGTCATGCAAACAGAGTGCCATAGTGCATCCTATTTGTGTTGAGGGTGAATCAACTGAATTTGAGGTGCGCTCCACATATCCAAGCCCAGGAGTTGAGTCCGAGCTTGTCTAACCTACACGGCGCTCCTCATTTCTTGAAGAACAAGATCTCACAGACTTTCTGGCCACGCTAAGATGGTCCATATTGGGCATATTTCCGACTGCCTTTCAGCTTTTCATCCTTAAACCTTAGGCTTTGTGTTTTGTTTTGTTTTTGTTCTTTCTTTGATTGCAGGATGGTACTGACAACGTGAGCGGGAACATTTTCGACCGAAAGGCTACTTCCCGACAGATGTAGACGATGATTTAGCCAGAAAGTTGACGGTTGAGACCTGCGCGATTCCCAAGCGAGAGTGTTTCTGTCAGCAACCCTTTGCGAGGGTATTTGTTCCCAAGGATTTGCAGTCGAGTTCTAGCGGACGGCGTGACAGTGCGGGTGTGAGTGGCATGGACCAGCTCTATTCCGTGACATTTGACCTAGATTAGATGTTGTGACTTCTTTTGCATGAGCCCTTTCTTTACTTTCAGCCAGTGCTGTGAGTTGGTATCCCGGTTTAAGGTGCCTGCGCAAGAATGTGCTAAGCTAAATAGAAGAGCCTAGAAGACATCATCAGACCATATTTAGTTCAGTGTGACCTCATTGGGCCATAAGGTAAGAGCTGGGGTAAGTTAGGTAGATGATGCTCGGGGAAGTTAAGTTGTTTGTTGAATATTCATGTCGCTTCGCGAGGACAAGCGCCCGCACCGTTTGCTTCGAGAGAGGGTGCAAGGAAAGGTAATTCATGTCCAAGCCAAAACCCCAGAAGATGCGTAACCGAATGAGCAGGAGTCTAGATGATTTATTGTAATCACTCTATTTTTGGACTCCTTTGACATTGTACATTTGTCAGAAGATCCAACATATCCAACAAACGTGATAGCAAGATATACTGGATATAAGTGGACCCTCTTGAAGAAGCACAACTTTAAGGGGGTCAAAACATGGTGACACGGGTTTTCACAGCCGTGCGTTTGTGATCGCAAGTCGCACCTCGCCTGCGTTTTCAGCACTTTTTCAAACATGCAAATTATGCGAGGGACGACGAAAAGTTATATCCACTCATTTTTCTCCTTCGAGTGCTTGAAGCGGTTTCATGCTCTGGAATTATGCCGATAGATCCATTGGAAGATTCTCTCCCAGATCTTCCCGTTCAGGGTTTCACCCTGACGTGTCTTCATCTGTGTCGGCAAAAACTTTTTCAAGTGGTGCCAACATCTGCCAATCTGCTGTGTACCAGCGAGGCGACAAAGCTGTGCAACCCTCACCTTGCTCCATTCGCTTTTGGAATGGACAACAGATCTCACCTTCAAATGTTATCAAGCCGATGACAATGTTCCGAAAACGACGATAATGTTGCGAAGCCGAAGATTGCATATCGTGAAATCGATGACAATGTTCTCAGCATGACATCCACATCCTCATTCCATCACCCCCCCCCACCCCCCACCCCAAACCATTTTAATCACACGACTGATCGATGACAATGTTATGAAACCGATGACAATGTTGTCAAACCGATGACAATGTTCTGATAACGATGACAATGTTGTGAAACCATGTGAAGCCGATCATTACATATCATGAAATCGATGAATGGAAGCAGAAATCGCAGAAATCGTGCATATACATGTACAAGAAACACCGAACATGTGACAAAATGTGAACGCCTCCACGGTTGTGCCAAAACATATAGTGCTTAGAATAACATTTGCAATACGCGTGACGACCAGAGACGACAAGTACCATACTGCGGATTGATCACCGCATCAATCACAAGGTCCACGAAAGGCCAACAACAACACCCCGACCCACACCACTTCATATCCTGTCCCACACCATATGGCACACCACCTCCTCATCAAATGTTGGTTGCAAAACCTTTGTTTCCAGTGGTTTTGCATGTTTTATTCCACCACTTCCCCTCAAGACACACCTCATCATGCAGGATATGCATTTCGGTTCCTAAACGAAAAAGGCCCCCCCCAGCTAACGCTCTAGGAACTCAACGCACGTGCCCCAACACAATCACGCCCCTCAGCACCTCGGTGCGGGCGGAGCATGAGGAACTAAAGCTTCGCGAGAGCATGGGCTACGATGCGAAGAAAATGGCGGAGCCTTGTTTGAAAGTTCCAATCACAGAAGCAAGATGTCATAAACAACAGTTGTAGTCAGATCTGTGAAACTATAGCAACGCGCATGTGATTTTTGAGGGGATACACTAGGGCAGTAGCCCCCCCGGGCACATTGATAGAATGAGGGTGCATACCGTCCGGGTCCATTTCCGGCACCGTGTCAAAGATTTGCATGCAAAACCAGGCATCGACTAACAGGATGATTCGATCTCTTTCACTCTTTCATCTCCCTGTGACAAAGGAATGCCTGACAGCCCATCAGGAGCTTTGGAGTGCTCCACCACCACTAAAGGAGCTAGAGTTGAAGGCAGCTGGGCTTTGGATGGGAAGTTGGTCTTATATACTCAGATTGAAACCGTTGCTGATGGAGTCCTGACCACACTGAGATGCAAACTGCCCGCGATTGACCTTGTGGCTTCTATTTTTCCCGCAACATCTTTTTTTTCCTGCGTCGCCAGTTGACGCACTACCAGAACGATGACCAGCAGCTCACCCTGACAGTGGTGAACAACTTGCTGGTTCGACAGTTGAAGGCCGTGAACCATTGGGCAAAATCGCAGAATCTGATTCATGACTGCTGGTGATGGAAACCAAGGCAGTCATGTCTATTCGATGCTCAATCTTGGAGAAGTGTCAACTTCTATTCACCACACCCTTTTATACACCAGACGCAATCACGAGCATATTAATTGAACTGGGTCTCTTCAAAGTGATTCGACCTTTCACTTGCATCTACAGCAGAGACATCTTTGGCACTTAGCAGAGTGAGCAACTGGAGCAGACATCCTCAGGAGCGCATCGTAGAGGAAGTCGGCAGAGGGACCCCCTCCAAGATCATGCTGTCGGTGAGCGGTGAAAACGTCCCTTGGCGAGACTAGTCTTTTCGACAGGAGGTTTTTGACAGGAGGGCCAATGCTGGCCTCAGCCAAGCAGACCTGCCACATGATCTTGTTCAGGAACACCTTGACGATTACAGTAGTTTTTCTTTAATCGTACCTGGCCAAAAAGATTGGCCTATTGCAGGTCAAAACGTCATTGCTCATCACAATTTGACAGTAGGCTGGAGCTGACTAAGGCACTCAATGATGATGTTGCTCTTAGCTCTCTGGAGAACGAGATACAAGGCTGGAACTGTGACGCACTGCCAATTGTGGAGGGGTTTAAGGCCAGGTCGCTGGGTCCCTCTTCAATGGTTTAGTTCTGGTGTGTACCTTGATTGCTCTAGTAAGTATTTCTCTGGGGGTATACATCTTAGAATCTTGGCTTCATTCCTCGCATTCACCTGCACCGTATCTTTGATGAAATAACGAGCCAAGAGTCTGTAGTTTTGGGATCCCTCCGCCACCCAGGCGGATTGCTGGTGATGGGCATTGACATGTCCAAAGGCAAAGAGGTCAGAATCAAGCATGGCATCCCAGGCTGAGAGTGTTACCTTCCAGGCTTGTAGACTCAAGGGTCTTATCAGGTTCAGGTTCGTATACTTAATTTTTCTGCATGGGCATGGGTTTCAGGCTCCTTTTAGACTGTTGTACTTTTGGGACGGATAATACTTTTTGTTCTTTTCCCTCTCCCATATCTTGTTGCATAATACAGTACAATCAAGTCTATCCGTGCTGCTGGTCCAGCCACAGTTTTACTTTGCTGAATTCTCTTTGCATGAAATGGTTGTAACTTCTTTACTGGATCCGAAGGTGCATCAATTGGATAAAATACTCTATAAAGTCTTATGTAAGGATCTTGGAGGCGTTGAAAGGCATTGGGTAAGTCTTTCTACGCTCTGCACAGGTAAACTCTTGTAGGCCCTTTTTGTTTTCTTTTGGGCCACACCGAGGCGTCTTTGACTGCGGAGATAGCCACAAATCTTTGGCCTCACTGCAATGGTTAAAAAGACTATCCCACAAATCTCCGCTTGGATGTTGGGCTTGGCTTTGTGCATGTCATGCTGAGGCTCGTTCATGCAGCATCAGACACTCCGCAAAGCCCGGACGCTCGAAAGTCAGCTGTAGGTGCTCACCATCAACCACACAAAGTGCTGCTGCTAGAGCAACATCTTGGCAGCTCAAACCGAAGGGGTGTAATTTTGCAGACCCTTGTTCTGCTGCTGGGCCGCAGCATTGAATCTGTGATGCTCTTTGTTAGAACATAATTTGGTTTGCAGCGGACATGCTGTAATTTTGTTCTCTTGTATGTCCGTCATCATTTTCTGCTGGGACCCCTCACCTAAAACCCTTTCAAGGTATCCACAGTCTTGTTGAGGCCTCACTTTGACCGTCTTAGACACTGTCACCATGCTCGAGCTACGGCGGCAGATCATGGAAAGGTGAGCCGCATTTTGGACTGTTGGACCCTGGAAAGCAGCTTGAAGTCTCACCCAAAGTCGGACGAGCTTTATGTTGTTCAATGTATGGTTACAAGGCTATTGCCTGAGCATGTATTGGGTACCTTGATTTGCTAGACGGGGAGCATTTGGTCCAAGAGCCCATGTCCCGAAGTTTGGCCGCGCAGACTGGGAGAGACGAGCTTGAGCAAATGCAAGCTTGTGCGGAGATGCTTTGCTGCATTGCATTGACCAAAAGGTGGAGTTGTCGCGCTGCGTCGCGTTGCCTCCACCTCGGTGTTGTGATTCTAACCACTTGTTCCACATGGTCCCACTCACCCAGATAGATCTATATAAGCGTCTCGAATCCTTCAAAGACAAAAAGCAGCTTTCTTCATACAATCTCCATAAGCTTTTGTTCAGATAGTGCTCTTTAATTTGTTGAGCTGCATGTCAGACGGCGGCAAATAGTTTTGCTGGCTGAGGAGTTGCTGCTGGTGGCTTTCAGGGTCTGGGCGATGACGAGCGACTCAACAAGAAGCGAGAACTTTTGTTCGGGAACCCAGAGGACCAAGATGCCTTGAAGGCCCCTGCGGCGGCTGAAAGTCAGACATGTGTAAGCCCCCTAGAGCCCCTATGTGTCATTATGTGTCCAGGTTGGCAAACGTTCAAGGGGGCTCTAAGGGCATGCAGCCTTGAAGGCCACTAGCACACACACAAAACATGTTACTCAACCTTTCTGGTGCACGGCAGGGTTTGAGGGGTGCCTGGACAGTCTTGGCTGCTTTCAGTGCCAGGTTTCTTGGGCGAGACTTGCCGGAGGACTGTTCGATTGTTAACAAGCACAGCTTCTGACTCAACTTGCAACTCTTTTGCTAAGAGTTGATGCACAGCTTGAGGACGCAGTTCCCCCGGATACAGCAAGAGTAAGTAGTTGTTTCAAATGTGACCTGCACTCAACAACAGCAAAAATCTGAGGCTCAAGCGGGAAATAATCCGGATACGTGGTCTCTTTTGCTAATAAATTGGCCATAAAACTGGCTACATGGCAGTCGAGACTGAACACACATATTGCAATACAACACACATTCAAGATAGAGTTGACTCTGTCACAAGGAACGCCAACTGAAACATCGTGTCTGACGTAGGAAGATCCGCCAGTCACTTCCAAAGCGGAGGAGGCTCAGCAATGAGGTAGATGCATATTGATTGGGGATGACGGAATGGTATCCCTACTACCCGGTTTGGAGGGTTACGGCTTAGGAGCTTTGAAACCTAACGTACAACGGAAACACTGCTGCCTTTCTGGCTTAAGCGTAGTGTGATCAGTTGCTGTGATTCAAGTTTCTGAAGTATTAGATGTGGCAAGAGTGTGTCTTTATAAAAGCACCCTCAACCTGCCTGATAGGCGCCCAAGAAGGTAAGCGAAGGGACCAAGCCGAAGGCCTGGAACAGCCTGCGGGTTCCAGGCGTTTTTATAGGGGGTAGAAAGGCTGAGGTCGCTCGCAGTAGCAAGAAAACTCCTACCCAGTGGACACAGAACCCGTTGCATGATTGACTTGGTTTCTAGATTTGTGGGGAAGCTTATATGGCAAAGTGACATCCGTAAGTTGCGAGCGCGGGAAGCACACGTTGCCATACTAAGGGCCAAGCACTTGCTACTCCCGTAAATACGAAACACACTTTGCCATACTATGGCAGCTAAGTTTCTCGTAGGTTTTTAGAATAGACGGACGCCAGCACGCCACATCGTAAATTTTGCAAGTCCTGCTAATGGGTAGGAGCAAGGACGCTACTAGGGGCTCCTGGCCTTGCTACTAGGAGCAAGGGCCTTACTACTAGTAACAAGAAGTAGAATAGGATTAAGTTTAATTAGAATTAAAATTAGCAACGGAATCTACTAGGACCTTTTGATCAACCAGCAGGCTTTAAACATCCACTTGCACCGGAGGGCCGCACTCTGCCTTGCTTCTATCTCGACGACCGACCGATGAATCTCAAAGCCGTGAGCCATTGGATCCACTTGACAGCAAGAAAAATGGGCTCGTCATGGAGTTTATTTTTCTCTTCAGGGGCTTGTCGAGTCAATCCCCACATCCTTCGCACCGGATACCACCACTTTCTCATTGTGATGGACCGTTGCCGGATGCCTGGTAAAATATTGCATCAAAGTGCACAGGCAAAGCCCAAGGCGGAGCAAACTGCGCCAAAGAAGGCGGGCGTTTGTGTGCAGCGTGTACTTGTCTGTGATGGTGTTGGTTGGCACGTACATAGATCTAAACATCTAAACTGTTAGCAGCTGAGCTTTATTTCCACACGGCCCCTTTCTTTCAAGCTTCTCACCACAAAGAACAAGCCTTTCCCCTGAAGGAGGTGTCTCAGCTCAAGGCTGCAGAAGAGGCGATTTGGGTTTGCTCCCAGCCGTCACTCTCAGGGCTTTCGAGAACCAAGGAGTCGTACAACGTTTTGAACGTCTTGGATTTCCCATTGCGTCGAATTTTTTGTGGCGAGGAAGTGACAACGAGACTTGCTCAATCGAGTCATTTCAACACACTCCACCTTTTTGAGGCCAAACAGCGTTTCAGCTAGCACAAAGGGCAGGATGACCGAGTGAGTAATCTGTAGGGTGTGGTTACCAGGTTACCACTTGCGGAGAAATAGCACTAGGTTACCAGGTGGTACACAAGTAGGCCAACAGAAGAAACCCTTTTCCTTGGTGTCTCGCAGGTCAACCGGCCAAATTTCCAATGGGCAAAGGCTTTCTGTCTGGGGGTTGCATCGATCTTGCATGAACCTCGGGTTCCAGGCCAACATCGCATGCTGAGGTGAAGCCAAAAGTTCAAAGTTCGGGATCCTAGAAGAGCTAAATGTCCCAGCCGGGCTCGGTTCTTGTTTGTAGTTCGGATTACAAGTCATAGGGTTTAAGTTCTGTGCGCTATGTCTTTTTAATGTCGAGAAACCACGGCATGACTTTGCGTACTTTCAACTGGGAGATGCCGCCCCGAAGTTATTTCGGGCCAGCGTTTGAAGAAACGTCCGGGCTTTTATGCAATGATGATTCTCCCAAGCTTCCTTGCATCCATGTTTGATGCACAACAAAATTGCCAGAGATGGCAAAACGTGAGCAAGTTCAGTTCTTGATCGACACATCGTGGTAGCTTGTAGTCAGTCGGACCTTGTTTGTGAATGTCATTTGCTTCTCTCGACCTGAATCTACAAGAGGTGGGGCATAGGATTCAATATGATTCACTTTTGTCAAGGTGCAAAGGAGCTCTCTGTGGCACAGCCTCGCGAGATGCACGTGAAGGCACCTGTGCCCGATGGGTGAAGTGGGAATTCAATCGATTCCTGGTCAATTGAGACTCAGGAAGAAACAAGTTTGGCATGGCAGGAATGGCCGATGTTGACGCTATCTTTACATCCAATCAGTTCCCCTTTAGAGCAGCCTGTGGGCCTTCATCTAGAGAATAGATTTATATAGTTGAAGTTGATCTCTTTGAGACCCGTTACGGTCGTTGTCCTGCAGATTACGCACCTTCTTGAAGCGGACCAAGAGATGTCCCTGGGAGTCTCAAGCGACTTCTTGGTGCGAGAGTTGAAGGACTTTGCTTTGAAACTTTCTGAACATCGGAAGGATGAAACTGAAACTTAGAAGATTATCAGACTCGTGAAGACTCGTGAACACTTGTACTGATGAGAATATAAAAGTACAAGTAGTTCCCGGGCAAGCCGGTGGCGGAAGTTTCATATAAGAAGAAATTGACCTATAGGAGTGTCCACGTTCTCTACAACATGCGCGTCCTCCAGTCAAACGCACGCGCTCCGGACTTTTGACCCACGGGATTCCACGTGTGTAAGGTGTGTGCCCCCTGCAGGATCAGCAGCTCACAACAGCGTACTGGGTTGTATCTTTGCCACGACAAGATCAGCAGCCCACAACGGCGTGTTGAACCAACTGGGCATGTACAAGTGTATGTACTACAAAGTGGCCAGTTCTCAGCTTCCAGCTCCACAGGTTGTTCCGCATGCTAAAGTTGTACTAGAAAGTCGCCAGTCAGTTCTCATCTTCCAGCTCCCCAGATGCTCCGCGTACTGCAGTTGTACTACACAGTCGCCAGTTCTCATCGTCCAGCTCGCCAGATACTCCGCGTACTAAAGTTGTACTACAAAGTCGCCAGTTCTCAGCTTCCAGCTCTACAGATTGCTCCGCGTACTAAAGTTGTACTAGAAAGCCGCCAGTTCTCACCATCCAGCTCCACAGATACTCCGCGTACTAAAGGTTGTACTACAAAGTCGCCAGTTCTCAGCTTCCAGCTCTACAGATTGCTCCGCGTACTAAAGTTGGACTAGAAAGTCGCCAGTTCTCACCATCCAGCTCCACAGATACTCCGCGTAGTAAAGTTGTACTACAAAGTCGCCAGTTCTCCTCGTCCAGCTCGCCAGATACTCCGTGTACTAAAGTTGTACTACGAAGTCGCCAGTTCTCAGCTTCTAGCTGCACAGATTGCTCCGCGTACTGAAGTTGTACTACAAAGTCGCCAGTTCTCATCGTCCAGCTTGCCAGATACTCCGCGTACTAAAGTTGTACTACAATGTCGCCAGTTCTCAGCTTCCAGCTCACAAATTGCTCCGCGTACTAAAGTTGTACTACAAGAGCCGCCAGTTCTCAGCTTCCAGCTCCCCAGATGCTGTGCCTGCCACGAAATCTGCGCATGGAGGTTCACAAAGTGCTGTGCCTGCCACGAAATCTGCACATGGAGGTTCACAAAGTGCTGCACCTGCCACGAAATCTGCACATGGAGGTTCACAAAGTGCTGTGCCTGCCACGAAATCTGCACATGGAGGTTCACAAAGTGCTGTGCCTGCCACGAAATCTGCGCATGGAGGTTCACAAAGTGCTGTGCCTGCCACGAAATCTGCGCATGGAGGTTCACAAAGTGCTGCGCCTGCCACGAAATCTGCGCATGGAGGTTCACAAACTGCTGTGCCTGCCACGAAATCTTCACATTGACGTGCACAAAGTGCTGCGCCTGCCACGAACTCTATACATGGAGGTTCACAAAGTGCTGCACCTGCCACGAAATCTGCGCATGGAGGCTCACAAAGTGCTGTGCCTGCCACGAAATCTGCACATGGAGGTTCACAAAGTGCTGTGCCTGCCACGAAATCTGCACAGGGAGGTTCACAAAGTGCTGTGCCTGCAACGAAATCTGCGCATGGAGGTTCACAAAGTGCTGTGCCTGCCACGAAATCTGCACATGGAGGTTCACAAAGTGCTGTGCCTGACATGAAATCTGCGCCTGTAGGTTCGCAAAGTGCTGTGCCTGCTACGAAATCTGCACCTGGAGGTTCACAAAGCGCTGCACCTGCCACGACATCTGCGCATGGAGGTTCACAAAGTGCTGCGCCGGCCACGAAATCTGCACGTGGAGGTTCACAAAGTGCTGCGCCTGCCACGAAATCTGCACTTCAAGAGACAAGTGAAAACCTAATCACAATGGACGGCCGACCGACCATGACCCGAGACCGTCTCGCAACCGTCGTCCGCAGAGCTAGACTTGCCAGGTTCGAAGCCACCGGTTCTACTGAAAAATACAGCATTTCGTGCGTCCGCTGTCTCTCGAATACGCATTTTGTATTGCACCTGCCACGAAATCTGCACCTGGAGGTTCACAAAG